GAAATGAGTGCCATATTCGTAATGAGCATCCCCAAATACCTCGAAAAGGATACCCATATAGCATATTTTGAAAAATCGTGTCCGCCATCTTGGATTTACAAATAAGTGCTATATTCGTTTTTCATCGACAAAACCGAGCACATCTGTAGGCACCTGATCGACAATGTCGGGCAAATCTGTAGGCACCTATAACTTAATGATGAGTTAAGCAAGATACAATTTCCCCACTTTTGAGGGAAATGTTATTCCATGGCATCATTATTTGTATATTTGTGTGCGTGCCGACGAGCGTAGTTACAAGTTGCTTACGCCTACATGAATTTGGTTTTTGCCTCACTTGTGACAGTTCGTTTGATATGAAACTATCATTCTATGCGTTATTATTCTAAGCCTGACACCATATGTGAAGATGTTATTTGTATTGAATTCAAAAGTGCAAAAGACCCTGGAGCACTATTTCAATTAACTTTTTATTATTAGTTCCTAGTCGCATTAGATATATTTGTTTTTTTTTATTATATTGCAAGTCTAATGAATAATTTTCATTTTTATTTTTTATTAACATTAAAAATAGTTAATTTGAATGCGACAACGGAATTTAAATCGATAAAAAAATATACACAGGCATTCATAAATTAGAAGAAAGCGGCAATACTTGTTCGTAACATCACACCATTCATTTTCCTAAAAAGGGACGGAGCATCCCTCCAGCACGGACTGAGTCATTAATATTAGAAGTTGAAATAACGAAAAACAAATTTTAGATTCAATCCACTGATTGAAGAGTTTTTGACTTAATTAATGAATTTAAATCCAATAGCTAACCTGTACGTCTTCGTCAGCTAAAGCGCGCTCTGCCAACTGCCTCCATAAGGGGCCTACGTCAGCATTGCTGCTCACGCCGTCTAAATACTTAGCACATCCCGTTAGATCACCATTGCGTAGCGCGTTGTCTGCAAACAATCGTTTTATACATTTTTGAAAACTACATATGAATTCTAGAAGTCGGAGTACCAACAAAACTAAAAATAATCTTGTTTTTACTAAAAATAATTCTAACTCATATTGGTCGTACTGCAAATCGAACCCGTAACCTCCTCATCCAGAGTCCTCAATGCAAACCGTTGACCCACCGAGGTCGTCAACAATCACCGTAGTACAGGCGTAGTTTAAATATCTACTCTAAACGTTTATTAGTTAAACTGACAGTGTGGTGCGGTTTTTACATTCAATTGCAATTAATGAGACTATCAGCGCCAAACTGGTGTAACCCATATTTAATTTTTTTTCTAGAATATTACTTTAAATTATACTGAAGTTCATAATTATTTTATATTTGGATGCCATTTTCATGTATTAAAAAAATCATAATTAAATACTTTTATATATGAAAATAGCTTCCAAGTATAAAATAATTATGTACTTTATATTCATTTATATATTACTTAATAATGTAGAAAAAAATTAGGTGATGGCTACACCACTTTTGACCTGAAATATCCCAGCTCATCCACCCCTACCACCACCCTTGCTCGATATGTAGAGATAAAGAAAGCGACTTACTGAAAGCAAGCCGATGTTCGTCCAATTGCAAGTAAGGCATCTGACCACCTTCGAAGATCACTTTTCGTGCTGTAACCTCCACCGCGATCCCTCCACCACATTCTGCCATGTCTACGCTGCCTGTGTCCCATGCAGTATACCTGTATGAGACGAAACTACGTTAATACCATTCGTTTTGTTATTCTATATTAAAAGAAAAGTGGAGCCATGGCGAAGCACTATAAGGAGATTGAACAGGATAAAAGGCATTTACTACAGCAGTTCTATTAGCGAGAGCTCAGAATTGCATACGTAGTGGTGCGCCTGTCACCCTAAGACATAAGTTGACAAGTCCCATGTGTCTGTTATTTCATAAGCACCCTTACCCTTCAAAACTGGAACGAACAAAGTAATGTGAACATTACTGCCTGGCGGCAGAAATAGGTAAAGTGGACAATACTTCCCTGGACTAACTCTTTTACAAGGAGCTCTAATGCTACTTAACTAACTCCTTGTACTATCAGCAAAAATGATGCTTGTTATGTTTGAAAAAGAAAAGAAAAACAACAGTCAATGTCAATGTCAATGTCAAATAATTATTTTATTTAAGTGGCAATACTTCCTGGATGAACGTAAACAAGGAGCTCTAATGTTACTTAACTTACTCATTGAAATATCAGCAAAAATGATGTTTGTTATGTTTTAAAAAAGTAAAGAAAAACAACAATCAATGTCAGTGTCAAATGAAAATTATTTTATTCAGGCGGCAATACTTCCCGGGACGAACTCTTTCGCAAGGAGCTCTAATGCTACTTAACTTACTCTTTGTACTATCAGCAAAAATTGTTTGTTATGTTTAAAAAAGTAAAGAGAAACAATAGTCAATGTCAATGTCAAATGAAAATATTTTATTAATAAAACCTAAACTAAATAAAATATAAAAAACCGCTTATAGGGGTTGTAGATCTCGTTTTACTGACTACAGATATGTCAATAACTCAATTTCGCTAAAAATGTCAATTACGGTGTTAGCATACGTAAAGTAATCATACTTTCACTTTTTCGGAACAACTCATATTGTACAACTACGTTCTACATTTTAAGCTATTTTTACTGTATAACATTTAACATGCGTTAGCTATATAAGTTAGTACGAAAAAAACTCAAGACCAACATACGTATTTCTACTCTCAGAACAATTCAACTACAAACTACAAACTAACAATTGACGTTAACAACAACAACAAGTAAGTATGGGTCAACAGCAATTTATAGGCCCTTACATATTAGTCCTTTGAGCCGGATTAAAGCCTTACATCTACATTTAATTGTTTCGGTTTTTGTGCACGGTACACCACTATATATATAATTCCATTCTATCGTTAATATATCTATACGCCGTAAGTAGAGCCTACATCTTAAATCTAATAGTGTTCAACAAACCCTTGATGACATGCAAAATCTAATGGTTTACCACAATTATTATTATATATATATATATATATAAAGCTACAAGTACTTACTCACTGATACAAATAGAACGCATACTTCCCGATATGGTGGAAAAAAATATTTATACCGTTGTACGCGGATAGATTCTTTTGAAGGAAGGCAAAGAATCAAATATGAGAAGACCTAAATGTGGAAAATATGAAAGAGTGATCAACGGCCTGCAAAAACTATAATATTTGGAGGGAATATTTGTGCACTTTTATGAGGTACACCCTGGTTAATTTCTGCCGGAAGTAAAAAATGTACGAAATTCAAATAAATAAGATGGCCGCCATACAAATTTCAAACTCCTATCACGGAAACTATTAGAGATAGGTAGGAGGTGCTCGAAGGAATGTCATAGAGATTAAGAGTGGTCAACTGCCTGGGTTAAAAAAACAAGATGGCGAATTCAAAATGGCGGCCGAAGAAAAACTTGCTTCGATCCGGCTGAAAATTGGTATGCGGGGGTCTTTAGGAATCCTTAATCATAATTTGGGGTCAAAAGTTTCTTTTCGCCATTTTTTTATATGGCTGTCATATAAGCGCTTTTTTCGTCAAAAGCGGCTGCCGAAACGGACTTGCTCTGATTCAACATTCATTCTGAGTAACAATATATAGCATGCTTCCCGATGTAGTGGAAATGAGATACTTATTATAGCGTTGTTGTATCTCAACTGTCTCTATCTTAGATTTCATTTTCTTGAAAGTTATGACAAAGAGAAGTATTTAGGGGGAAAAAATGCCAAATTACTGCCGAATTTCCTGTACTATGTAGTTACTATGAATACCAAATCAACGATAAACCAGAATACTCAAACCAAAACCAAATTAGAAATGTTCGTTTCTTAAATTGGCTTAAATCGGGAATCGACCTCCTCATCAAGCGCCCATAGTACTAACTGCTGTGCCACCGAAGAGCATGAGCACACCCCGTAAACTGAAACCGACCATGCGCCGTAGGCCGAGCCCGACCCCACCGTAGGTGGGGTACAGAGCGCGTAAATGTCTAAACATTTAAGTAGCCGCCGTGGTAGCCTAATGGTCTGACCTACTGCCTCTCAAGCACAAGGTCGTAGGTTCGAATCCGAGCTCGCACCTCTGAGTTTCTCGGAATTTATGTGCGAAATTTAATTTGAAATTTATCAGGAGCTTTTCGTTGAAGGAAAACATCGTGATGAAATCTGCTCGTCGAAGAAAGTTCACAACCCTCGGAAAACGTGTGAAGTCACCAACCCGCATTGGGCCAGCGTGGCGAACTATGGCCTAAACCCTCGTCTGAAAGGAGACCCGTGCCCAGCTGTGGGACGTATAAATGGGTTGATGATGATGGTGATGATGAAACATTTAAGTGTTTCATCATCTAATAAAAATCTGTCTTTTCTAAACGAAACTAAACTATACTTTAAATTGTTTTATTTTATCAGACCAGGAGAATTCACTTTGGGGGACCAACCAGAACACACAACCAAAATCAATTTAGAAACGTTAATTTCCCAAATTGGTTTTGAAGGAATCGAACCCGAAACCTGCTCATCCAGGGACCACAATGCAAACCGTGGGACCACAGAGATCGGCGTTGCAAACAAACGTGCATTGTAAAGCCATAAACATAGAATCAGAAACATTAGCTGATTCCAACGGTGTATATAACTCAATATGACCAAAAGGGTCGCTTATCCCATTTTGCCTTTCAAGCGTCGATTATTTGTTAGCCAATGTTCAGACATACAGAACGCTCAGATAATTTTAAATCTGTATGTGTAAAGATTCATTCAGAGATAATTTAATCTATGTCGCTCTCTAAATAGAAAATTACCAAACGAGAAGATGAGTAGGTGTTTGTGCTACTACAGCGTCACTGTTTTCAATCCACTGCACAAACCCGACGCCGCTTGCGATTATCTCCTGTAAATAAGAACTATAATGGCATAACTGTAACAGAAACAGTAAAAATATGCTCATAACCCTGGGCCTAATGCTCACTGGGCTTAACACTAAAGTCTATATTTATAATGCGCATATTACTGCAGCCTTCTTAATGTCCTCATGAGCTTTTAAGAACCTTCTTCGCTGAGCAGGTTCCCAAGTTGAAACGATTCGGAGATGATTAATCATAGCACTGGTGCGTGTTGAAGAGGTTAAGACAAGTGGAAGGCAGTTGTCGTGGCCTACTCCGATGGGAAAAGGGCGAGAAGTATCTATTAATACCTCTACCACGAATTTACAGTAACAAGTGTCGCTAGCGTGTTGGCACTAGCACCCCTAGTGTAAGGCTCAACTCCGAAGCGTCGCGTCGCGTCGTTTTCAATTACAAAAAGGCGAACACGCGCGTCGATTCCGTATTTGCATAACCCATATTTGTACCTTAATAATGGGAAAATAGAGATTAATATGCTATAGGCGAAAAACATGACGCGTCGCGAAGTTTCGACTCTGCGCCAGTGTGAGTTAAGCCTAAGGAAATATTTTATGTCGAATCTCTACCAAAGCGCAGTAGCCTTTTTTTTCATTTTCTTTCACAGTTCTGCATATTTGCGCACATTTTACAGTTTAATATTTTTCCCAAGGATGGCGACCTTTGATCTCAATTATCTCAGGTCACAAGTCCAGGCTAATTCAAAATTTGGCCTTCGTGACGAATTGTACTTTTTATGCTAGTTACATTTATTTATTTATTTCATTTCATTAGTTTTTTACAAGCCTGGTATAGTTGGCGTGCTCAAGGGGATGCTAATGATGATGTTAGTTTCAAATTTCACGCACATGGGTTGAGGAATGGTTAAATTACTCCTTTCGGAAATTATACAATACAACTTCGCTTGTTTCGAAAATGTTACTTCTCTACAATCTTCTGTACAATTAATCATCATACAAAATTGTCGAATATAGTAGAAACTCACTACTAATTATTTTATTTCAATCTTCGAAGTCATCTACATTTGAAACAAGTTTTGAAATATAACATTGTTGAGAAACTTTCTAATTCAGTAATTAAAAGGGTCACAAGATGAGCCTTATACCTAAGCAGGGTAAACTTTTAATTTGATAAATACAGTCACGATGTTCTAATTCTGAAATAATTATATACATCCCATAATCATGTAATAATATAGAATTTTATTGCGTAACCTAATATACTATCAACCTTATACCGAAACAGTAAAGGTAAATTTTTAATTGCAGTAACGACCCCGAAATAATACATTATTAGAATGACAAGCTAATAAAACAATCATAAACTCGAATAGAACTGAAGCTTAAACTGCAGTAAATAGAGGAGTAGGTATATACGCATAGTGTACGCGTACCGTGTACTCACTTAAGCTGGGTTCTGACCTCGGAGTATCCAAACTCATTTCTTTCTGCGTCTCAGAGGTTTGAAATTTATACCTATGGAGTGGAATTCCTTGCCTGCCGTCCTATTCCTTAAACACTATAACTTTGGCCTTTTCAAGGCGAGAGTGAATAGACATTAGGTTAGAGTTAATAGACATTATTTGGGTGTGCATGCTCCATCGTCGACCTCATGGTCAGTTACCATTAGGGGAGTTGGGGATCAAATTCGCACTCATTCTATAATAAAAAAAGGAATAGACCTTACCTTTTCACCCGTATCGAATCGTAAAAGCAGAAGTCTTCGCCTTGTGTCTCTCAACAGCAGCAGTTGCCCACTTTCGTTCAGCTCGAGCCAATCTACGCGAGCCTCGTGCCACCATTGACCGAGTTGCACACCTATAAAAATTACGAGTAGACCCATCACGTGGCATCATAAAAATAAAAAGTTACTTTTTAAAATCTTTTTAAATCTATGAAAAAGTGTTGAAATTAATTTAAAAAAAATATGGAGTGGTATGCGGTAGTGGTACTGATCTTACCAGTAGTAAGATCCACTACGGCTATAGTTTGTCTATCAAGCAAGTAGGCGAGGTGTTTCCTGTCGCGTTCACGTTCGCTTGTACCTTCATTGATGCGCACGCTTAACACGTGGGGATTCACTCTTTCTGTACGAACCTATGCACATAAATTAATGAAATTATCATATATTTTCCATGCAATTTAACAGGGCTTCTTAAAGAACTCTTGCAGGGATGTATTAGTAGCAATAAAGCTCCTTGTGAAAGAGTTCGTCCAGCCTAGTACTGCCATCTTACCTATTTCTGCCTACAAGCAGTAATGTTAGCATTACTGTGTTCCGGTTTTGAAAGGTAAACGTGCTGGTGAAATTACACGCACATGGGCCATATAAACTTATGTCTCAGGGTGATGGGCGCAGTGGCAGTGGGGCACTGGACATCTTTGCGATTTAAAGCTCTGAGTGAAAAGAAAAAAAATGCTGCCACCATGCCTATTTCTACCGCCAAGCAGTACCTAATATGCGCATTACTGCGTTCCGGTTTTGAAGGCAATGGATACTGGTGAACTTGTCTACTATGTACTTCAGGGTAAATTGCCTCTTACATCTTTGTGATTTAAAGCTTTGAATAATACTGCAACTGTATGGATAGGCGTGTACATCGAGTATATAACCAGAAATAGATACGAAATAAGGGCCATATATTAATGGTAACACATTAGCGATACAGCTCTTATAAATATCAACTCCCGTTTGCACTGAAATATTGACTGGCCAACTACTGACCTGTGCGTACGTCTAGGTATATTCCAAAAAATATTCTGCATTTAATGTAATAAAGATAATATCTCTAACAATGCCGGCTGTTCCTGACGTTCAATAAATTTAATTACTATTATTAGATTTGCTAGCTCGGCAGACAAAAAAATCGATCTTATTTTATAATACCAAGTAACGAGACGAACAAGTCGTGATCATGGTGGTAAACCACACTCTATAGCAGTTGCAGTGCCACTCAGAATTTTAAATCACAAAGATCTGAAAGGCCACTGCCACTTCGCCCGTCACCTCGAGACATAGGTTGACAATGTACCTGTAATTTCACCAGCACCCTCAACATTCAAAATCGGAACACAATGATGCTCCCATCACTACTTGGCGACAGAAATAGGTAAGGTGGCAATAATTCCCAAGACGAACTCTTTGACAATGAGCTCTACTACTACGCCTACATAAGGCCTTGTTGTAATGGCCATTTTTGTTTTATAGAAGCAAATGTCCAACACTAGCAATTCTAAACAAAGTGCATAACTCGATGATATATTTAGATATACCGTATGCAGAATTTTGTCGAGTCCGTACTCAACAACACTGAGTTCTCCAGCCCGATGCAAAAGACAGGCTCCACCGACGGCCGCATAGATTCGCTCACCGCTACCCGACCATGCTATCTGTATTATTATAACAATTACTAAGTTGGACGTAGTCAAACAAAAAGGATCCAACGCACATCCAGTCGCATTCGAGATATGGCAGCTTGAAGTTTAAGTGATTCTCACTCTTGTTTTATTCTCCAAACTTATAATGTCATGTAACTCCAGAGATATTTGTTTGTATGTTGGATTTTTTTTTGTTAGAAACTGTTTGGTACATATGACTCATTTATTGATAATTTTATAATTTGGATCCTTTTTGCTTAACTATGTCCAGTTATAAAGAGTGGTAACTTATTTATTATTATTATTGATACAAAGATAGAACAGCACAAAAAACCTTCGACTGACTGGGCTCGAGCCAGTGTCTATAATCTTAAGCAACTGAGCTAAAGACCGAGTCAGCTGATCTTGCGAATTTCTCTATGCGTTTGTTGCAGATCTTTGTATTGGGATTAAACGGTTTATTTTTAAATTCAGCACTACCTGTGAGAAACTATGAAGTTTCTTCGCAGGTAGTAATTTAATTACGTTACACCTGAACAACTTTTCTGTCGGAACCTAAAAAAGAATCTGCTATTAGCGGGCTTTACACAGACACTCTATCGCGCGTGATACAACAATCGTGCGCGATTGTGCACGCGTGTAATAATGTTGGAAGGAAAAGGAAAAGACCTCGTGATTGCGCTCATCACTCGCGGACACGCGCCAGTTTCACGTGGTCTATCTTCCGAGATTAACCTTTACACGGACGCCTTTTCGTTGTAACAAAAACGAACGCAAGCAATCGCGCGCGGAAGAATGTTAGCTCAAAAAACTTCAAACAGGGAATTCTCGCACGTAATCCTGTAAGCTCCTGACCAAGCGAGATAGAGTGACTGTATAAAGGGAGCTATTGCAGGCCATTCTCACATTCTTAAAAATGTTTGAACTTTCTAATCTCTAAATTCTCTAAATTTCTAATAATCTATCCATGACTACGGTAATTAGATGTAATTGACGTTTCCATAAAATATTTGTGTCTTAATAACTCGTAAACTACTTTGTGAATTCTAATGCCATTTAGACTTATTGGTAGTTAAGCTTAAAGTTGTTCATATTTCAATGTTATTAGGTATATTAAGCGAGAAAATAATTAGGTTGAGAACACCGAATGTAAGAATGGCCGTTGTGCGTCATACGGAAAAATATGTAAATACAATCAAAGCAAACACTACATATCAGTAAAATTACGTATATGGAGTTATTAAAAGTTGATTGAAATATTTTATGATTTCTATCTCTTTAGTATACAATATCAAAGATACTTAATTCGCAACCTTAATGTGTGGCCACATTTGCAAAATTATAACTTTTTAGGACATGTTAAAAGATTCTACGAAATAATTAACTTACTCGATAAATTTTTTATGCTAAATAGGACATAATTTGTTTCATGTTATTTTTTTTTAAAGCACTTTTGCTTTATGGTCACATGTGACTTTAAGGCCAAGGGTACGAAATCACATTGGCAACGCATTCTAATGATGTTTTTATCACACTTGCACATAAATAGTATGATTACATGCATGCCCCAAATAAAACTCTTTTGACAAAAACCAATGCTCAATAAAATGAATAACAATAGTTATAAAGTATTTATTTCAGAATTCTGTCCATAGCGTTAATAACAAATTCTTGGCTTGATAATAAAATATAAATAAGCCAAGACCTGACGAATTCCAAGTATACTATTACTAACCTCGCTAGTCAATCCTCGGGCTATGTCACACAAAATCAACGTACTAGCTGTACGACACACTGCATACCAATCGTTACCTGAAGATAAAATTCATAGATAATTTTTGAACATGTGGATACATCTAAGTTCTTGCCAAAATTGTACAATTTTGTTCTATCGGATACTCGGGGAGTGTGCGCAGGAACTTTTCAATTTAGTTCCACCCTCACCGTTCCTCCTTCGGTCGACTAGAAGGTCCGGAGCGCTCCATTCTTATGTCGTTGATATTCCACCTATTCGCATTAGGCGCTTTGCTTCCTCCTTTCTGATGCGTACGGCAAAGGAATGAAATGCTCTACCGGCTGTATTTCCCGAAAAGTACAATTTGGGGCTATTCAAGGCTAGAGTGAATAGGCATTTTTTAGGCAAACGCGTAGAGTGAATAGGCATTTTTTAGGCAAACGCGTCCCATCGTCAATCACATCGTCGCTTAACATCAGGTGAGATTGCGGCCAAGCGTGTGTCTATTATATATTAAAAAAAAACAATAAGTTGCAACATATTCTTGATACAAACAACATTAACAGTTTTAAAAGGCGTTTATTTCATTTATTGACTAGAAAAGCATATTATTTACTTTAAATACCTATCTATTATTTACATGATAAGCACCTAGAGTAAGATTGATTGCAATGAATATTATGATGCATTACTATCATTACATTCATTTATTTTTTGCCAGATTGCTCTACTAGTTTGTTATAATTTTTAATACCTTCGTATTCGATTCGAACACAAAGAAAAATTCCATCGAGTCAGCAGACCTTAAGAATGTTTTTCGCCACCTGTGAGAAATCTATTAGTCCTGGCAGATCGAAGGAAGTTGTCTTGTGTTAATATAAAAAATATATAAATATAAAATAATAATATAAAATGTGTCTTTATATTAATAATAATTACATAGAATAAGAATAAACTATGACCAAATAAACATGCGTGAGATTAAAATTTTAAATTTTACATTCCTAATTATTAAAACTGATTATATGCTGTTAAATCAATTTAATTCGGTCAAACTGACTACTCACCAATAAACCGTACATTGAAGATATCCGGAGCATGTTTCGTAGTAACAGTGAGAGGGGGAGAGTCGTTAGCCAGTCTGGTCAGTATTAGCTGCTTGGGGCTGACATGCTGTACTTCTACTGAGTCGCGCCACACCCAACGTCTATGATATAGAAAATACAGCAGTCGAGCAGAATTATCCTTTTTTTCAGGTCAGTTGAAAATTGTCACATATCAAAAGGCACCACTTTATTAGAGTTCGTAATAAATCCAATCCACGTCACAAAATACGTGAATAAAGATTTGATTCCTTCACTAACAATGTATCACATTTCTTGCACTACTGCGTTGCATACTTACTTGTCTGTAGTTGGCTCAGTTACAAAAATTCGCTTCCATTCCGTTCCGCCGCAATATAAATTAAGCCTAAGGCCGCTACATTATACGGAAACTTCGTCGCGGAGGACGGTCAACGGAACGCTAATTTATTTTTTTGCGTATAATTTGCCGTCATCGGGCACACTACGCGGAAGATCGGTTGCCCGTTAGCGGGCCGCTTGACTTCGGCGTAAGTGGCATAGCCGTTAACTCGTGAGTCAGTCGGCAGTGAGAGTTCGGTAAGTTGAACGTGATGTGTGATACACTTAAACAGATTTAAAGGATCCTATAATACAGCTACTATATCCCAATTGTAATAACAAACCTCAACACAGCTTCCAACTGTATAACAGCGCCAGTCTGCGAACCGATTGCCAACTTAGTGCCGTCACCGCTCCAGGCCAAAGCACGAGCGGCATAGAGATTAGGAATAGAGAACGTGGACAACTCCACACCCCCAGAATCCTTTACTTCACCGATTAGGCAACCATCGAAAATGCCGAAAGCCACTGTCTGAACAATATCAATAAAAAATAATTTAAAGAAAAATCAAGTTCCTATTATATTGATTTTAAGACTTTCGTGGTTATTCACTAAATGATTATCACTAATATCAGGTTTCTTACCACGGTATGACTTCTTTTTATTTTCCCGATATTTCGGAACGATTGCACGCTACATGGTCACGGGATGACTGGACGGCGGCAGATGACAGCTTTAAGAGCACACATATCTGTCTACCCTCTTGCGCTGTCGATGACTACCTTCATCGCGATTTGTTGTGGCGTTACCATTGTCACTCACTTTTTTCATACAAACCACACTCGCTGTATCCACACGCGAAACTGAATTCGAGGTGTTTTTGTTTTTATTACTGCACGCACTAAGGACCGGATTCCATGCACTGGACAGTTTAAAACCATCATCACGGTTAAATGTTTTGTATTTCGTGGTCTCGATGGCTTCTCGTACCAACCGTGGTATGTAGTGACGTTCTGTCGAGAGTACCTGGGGGCTATGCAACTAGATCCAGTGTTTAGTGTCAGTCTGTGTGAGATGTTGTACTATAGCCGACTTCTGTGTATCATTGTTTTTTACTGCTCGGAAGTGTTCCTTCATACGATCGACAATTGTTCGTTTAGTCTGACCGATATACGAGCTCTCACAACTGCAGTTCACTTTATAGACACCCGGTGTTTGTAAAGGAAGGTGGTCTTTTGGTGAACGTAACATTTTTTTGACACCATGGAGCGTGCAACTGTTCCAAAATATCGGGAAAATAAAAAGAAGTCATACCATGATAAGAAACCTGATATTAGTGATAATCATTAAGTTCCTATTATGTTTTCCTAGTAGAAATCATTATATCTATCGTAAGTACAGTCAATCGCACATCAAGCTATATGTATACTATTATTCGAATATCGCCACTAGAGCAACGGAACACAACTCATCAATGTGCACCTTGATATGCTATCGTCTGTATAAAGATCGTTGAGGTTTCTCACTCCGACTTATGCCAAGCACAGGTAGTATATAATTTAAAATTTGAATTGGAATACTGACTGGTATGGACTGACTTTATGACGATGGACGAACGACAGACGTAATGTAAAGTAGGGGATAATAAATGAGCAATTCAACATTACGTCATCACCTTTAGAATATACAAATCAAGAAAACTCGGACCCAATTCAGCTACTTGATTTTGATTGCCTCTCCCGATCGGAAACTGGGTCTTTTCCGAGTCGAGGCGCATAATTGCGAAACACAACTGGCCGATCGGAAACTTTTGACATTTCTAATCTGAACAATAATTGATTTAAATCACAAATTAGAAAGATATAGTAGGAATCAGGTTCATCTTCTCGCCCATCTGATTTCGAGACAACCCGGTCGGATCGATTCCGATTTGAATTAAAATCAGGACGCATATGTCTAGAGATAAAATGTGCCTGTGACAATTTGGACCGTCATTTCTCGGATTCGGAACTGGCCTCGTACTTTCGTTCACCGTCCGACATCCGTCCGAAATAATTACTGTCAAATAAGTAATCCTCGACCAAATGATGCGGATAAAGCTTCATACTTGACATTGTCTTTTAATTTGGTCGAGTATTACTTATTTGATGGATGTCGGACGAGAACGAGAGTAGACCCCCTGATACGAATGGACGTAGTGCGCAAACGCTCTAATTGTATCTACTTTAAAATTATAACGATGGTAATAGTGACGGTTTAAATATGGCCAACCGTTCTGAATAAGCTCATTCAATCAAGCATCGAACAATCAGCAATTATTATTGAGGATGCCTCGTTTCGACGCCAGACACGTGTCAAGTATATTTTTGATGGTGGTGTTGGGATTGTAGTTGTGTTTGTGTTATTTATTTTATAAATTTTATGCGGAGGGAAAATTAAATGAAAGGGAATATTCAACACAAGCTATTTTGCACTTAACTTTCACTGGGTTCGCCGAGTAACAAAGTAATTTATTACCATTTCTATTAAAATGTTTACATGTCGTCGGTGAAATTTGAAAACTTCGTACCTCCAGATTTAGTCGAAATCCCTTTTTTACTCTTTAAGTGCAATATCGGGCAATTAAAGCTTAAAATATCATTTCAAAACCCTTTTTTATTTATGAAATAAAGGTATAATCGTAGATTGTCATGTAATTATCATATCTAGTAATTCTGTTTTTTGTGCCTACTCAAAAGTTCACATTTATGGAGGTAGGAGGTCATCATTGTGCGTAAGTGTCGTTATGCATATTAATCGTCACACACCCGTCATGAAAGAATGGCATAAGTGAGGTTATGTAAAAAATGTTTATTGCTCCGTTGGATATAAGAATGAATGAAGAAAGTGTGTTCTTGTAACTCTATCGACTTGAAGAGGATGTGGGACATTTTTGACGTAACTTATGCCAATCTTCCAAGAGGGGTGAGATTATTTGCTTTCATATGTAATTACGCGTTTAATCGACAAAATAAATAGGTAAAGTACCTGTCCGGAAGGACTGGGTGCTGCTGCAATAAGATCACGTCTATCCACAGGTAATTGAGGTTCAATGTTGCGAATGAGAACACCGCGTTGCGCCTCATACACGGCCACTCTGCCGTCACACGAGCCCACGATCAACTGTAATAAGTGCCCTATAATTGTTCAAAACAATAAAGTACGAACTTCGGCCTTACCAGAAAGCCAGAACTAAAGGAAAGCGTAGTAGCGTAAATAACTACAAGTACAGTACAGTTGACAGTACGCGTAGTTACGCAGACTTGGGCTCAGTCCGCACTGGGGAAAATTTAAATTATATTAACAGTCCAAAAATTGTTATTTCTTTTTAAATTAGAAACTATGACCATTCATTATAAAGATTTCATAGTGTTAGAAATAAATGAATGTGTGAGTTTTGGCGACAGCGGTTCTGATACTGTCTGATAGTAATCGAGTCTTAAGGCACTTCCATTATTTTATTTTTGTGGATTACACCTTTAAATTAAATTAAAAAACAACCACTTTCGAACAAAGTATGTTGTACATGTTGATTACAGTCTAAGCAGCTATGGGCGTACATTTAAAACGTATATTGATCGGATTTATAGTCTTCAACTCAGAATCCTCAAACAACTTTTGCCTTTTAAAATTAAAGAAAAGTTTAAAGATGATGATATAAAAATTTTTAATTTTTGCAAAGTACTACCAGTACAAGAAAGAATCAATATGCTTTTATTAACGGAATTTTTTTTAAGTTTTAATCAAAATTAAAGAATTCGGTAAAGCACGCAAGAGGCTGTCATGACTATAGGAGCTCGTAATTTTTATGGAGAGCGTACAACCGATTACCTGGTTCCTAGATTGTTAAATAAGTTACCATTGCATCTTAAAAAACAAGTGAACCCAAAAAATATAAAGTATACTTTTAAAAATATTTCTTTTCCTAATATTATGTATCACCAGTTAGAAATTAAAAATTAAAATTATAGTCAAATAATATACAAATATATATTACTAGTAGGAATATACACAAAATTAATTAAATAAAAATAAAACGCATTTAATAAAATAAATAAAAAATAAATTAACGTTGGTATTATTCTAATTAAGCAGCCTGTATGTTCGCTGGCGTTGGAAGCGGGATCGGTTTTCTGCGTTGTTGGAGATTCAAGCTCGATGGCGAGAATTATTTTAGTGAATAAGATTTTTGTTATTTGTATGTACTTCGTGTCTATTTTATTATTAATTCGTGTTTTATAAGAGTAGTTTGTTTAAGAGAAGTTGCAACACTCAGACAAACCTAAATGTTTTTTTTTTCAAAAAAATTAATATAAATATAAAATATAAATATATAAAAATTAACTCATTATAGACCACGACTGGAAAATAAGAAGTTTTACCTCGGTCACATTGGGAGATAAGTTGTTGGATGATGAAATGATAAGGAAAACGATCTTAAATATAATAAATTAGAACAGTTTCTCTTACGTAAGGCGGCAACAATATCAAAGCTGAGGGTGGCAAAGCATATCGCAGCAATAGCCTTCCATTCAGGTATATAGTCCCGTCCACATGTCCTGACGCGATGGTACCTTCGCTGCCGCGCACGAGTGATATGCAGCACGCCCCGGCCGTCCACAGGCTTGAGCTTTTGTTACTTTTGCAATCCAATGACCTAATAAAAAGATCGCAACGTAAACTAACTAAAGCTAAAACTAATCTAATTAATTTAACTGCCTCCGTGGCCGAAAGGTTACCATGCTGGACTGCCATGCAAGAGGTCACTGGTTCGATTCCCATGCCGGGAGAAATATTTGTATCGGCTACATTTATTTCTCTCGTTAGTTTGGGTGTAATTTGTGATTGTCTATGTGTGTGTCCGCGGCACCCGCGATGCAGTTTTTCCCTAGTGCGGGGCTATGAGTGTGTGCGCGTTATTATATTGTTATTATAAAGATGATTTAAAAATCATATAATATATCTACAACAGACTTTGGTTACGTAACATGCCAGACAACCACACCAATTGCCTGGTCTCAAACTAGGGAATTCCCTGTGCTATGAGTACCAGAATAACGGAATTCACTCTGGGGCACTTCCCAGAACGTCCAGACCTCAACAGTTCGTTTCCAAATTTGGTCCTACCGGGAATCGAACCTGGGCCACCCTCATCCAACTCGCGCAGTATAAACCGTTAGGACATCGAGGTCATCAAGTACGTATATATCTATCTACCTACTCATAACATTACTATCACGTACTTGTAATAATATTTATACGAATACGTATACCTATTACATTTGTATATAGTTAAAGATATTTATTTCGATACTTCGAATATTGAGAGCCTATTCAAGGAATTGTATTACTTGGTTTCAAATTGAGACTTCCCTTGAATTGACACCCCTCATACGTAAATTTGTATGACATACATTAGTTACTCTACTAAATACCCAGTTACAATTCAAGGGAAATCTCAATTTGAAACCAAGTAATACAATTCCAACTAGGTACCTAGTTTAGTTCTCAAGCTCTTTTACTTTATTTTTTTATTTAATGTGCATTTCATGTATTAATTATGTACGTACCTTATCTTCCCATCACTAGTCCCAGTACAAAATCCATTTTCGACGGGAAGCAAATGAAGAGGCGATCCAGAGAGAGGGAACTTGTTGCAAATGACCTTCTTGCCGTTCCAGTCGGAGCCTACGCGATACACAAACACCATGTTGTCGCTTTGAGCTATACCTAACAGCTCTGAGTTGTCACTGAAGACTATACCTACACAAAACGAACGAATTATGTGTTACAACCTTCGAAGTAAATTCATCCTCATTTTATATTATTTTTGTTACTATTATCATCATTATCAACCTATTTACACGTCCCACTGACGAGCACGGGTCTCCTCTCAGACAAGGTCATAAATTCGTAAACTTTTTGGCTCACCTAAGGCAAGATAAAAAAATTCAACGTCCGCCACCACAAAAAATAATTGAAAACACATATTTTTTATATTTACTTATTTTAACACAAAAAATCAGAATAAATAAATTATATATATGTAGAATCATTTATATATCATTAGATAATTCAGTTTTAATTGGGGGGCGGTAGGGACCACTTTGGGAAACTATGGTTTAGGCCATAGTCCATAGTCCACCGCACTGGCCCGATGCGGTCTGGGGACTTGACACGTTTCCCGAAAGTTGTGAACCTTCTTCGAAGGTGCAGGTTTCATCACGATGTTTTCTTTCAAAAGGTCATGGTAAATTTCGTATTAAATTTCGCACATACATTCCGAAAAACTTAGAGGTCACGGCCTGAGAGGTAGATCAAACCACTAAGCTACCACGGCTCATTTCATTATTTTTGTGTTATTGTATATATCGTGTAATATCATTATAATTATATTATGTGTATGCTTGTTCTAGTGATTTCTTTACTACAAGCATTGTAAACTAAAGTACAAAACCCACATATAGACTACAAGTGCGTAATACAAAACGTATATGAATGCGAGTACGCACTTGTAATAACATAAGATTTTCTTCCCGCCTGCGGATCTGCGGGCTTGGTGCTGAACTTGTCTCTTCTCACTCCGTTGTGGTCGAATAACAACACCACTCGGTCACATGTCGCTATCGCCAGCTTTATATTATTCGGCGACCAACTAATGCCTGCTATTGGACTCTCACTTCCCTAAAAAATTTTAACTTAGTGTAACTTACCATGCAAACTACATTGCATTAGCATAAACAACACTATATTATACAAACTTGGGCCTCCAGCAGGGTTTTCGAATACTTTAAACGCATTTTCTTCAGTTTATTTAAACTTTGAGCACTCAATGGCAACGTGTAATGAAATTAAAATAAAATTATTTGTTTGGTTACTTCCGTTGCCAAGCAATACGTTCAAAATTGCCGCCATTTTACATAATATTCACCATAAACAATTAGATATATTTTTCTTTTCATTTTGAAAGAGGATTTGCGAATGAACGATAAATTAAAACATCAATATTAAGTTTAAAATGGTAACATTTAGTAGCTGTCGAAATGTAACTAACCGGATATTCTTTTTGATAGTTTACTGTGTCCGTGTAGACGTTGTAAGGTTAGAAGTATTTTTTATCCACTCAAATCAAATCCATTTTAATATTTTATGCAGTGCTATTTAATATTAATGTTCAATTACACCGTGCAGATCTCGTGTGTTACAAAATTTCTATAATTTTACTAAGTAATCCATGTGAGAATGTCGGCGGATTTGTTGTATTTACAACTTATAATTTTTTTTACATAATATCTTAAATTAGTGTTGTTGTTGTTGTGGTATAGTATCTCGCAATTGTATATGTTTTGTTACAGAACGTCATGCCTTTTGTGCGGTACGTAGAACCGGGCCGCGTAGGCCTGGTTGCCGAAGGCCCCTTGAAGGGGAAGCTCGTGAGTGTGGTCGATGTTGTTGATCAAACCCGCGCTCTCATCGACGGCCCGGGCAGCGGCGTGTCGAGGCAACAGATCCGCCTTAACCAACTTCACCTTACAAAGTTCCGTCTTAGCTTCCCTTTCACAGCTCCCACACGTGTTGTGCGGAGAGCGTGGACTGAAGCCAAACTCAACGAGAAATGGGCAGAGAGTCAGTGGGCACAGAAGCTTGCTAACAAAGAGAAACGGGCACAGATGACAGACTACGACAGATTTAAGCTGACATCAGCTCGTGTGAAGAGGAACCGCTCAAGATCAGCAGTGTTCAAGAGCTTAAAACTTAAGGCGTCTCGTGCTGGAACATTCGGCAAAAAGAAGATCCCCAAGGCGTCGGCAAAGAAGCCCCGCGTAAAGAAACCCGCCAATAAAAAGCCAGCAAAGAAGTAATTCTTGTTTTGTAAAGTGATTGGTTATAAGGACATCAAAATAAAGAATTACTTTTAGCTACATTATCATGTGTAATTTGTTTTTACTATTAATTGCCTTTTTTTTGCATAATGAGGTGAGTTTTGTGAGCATTGTTGAGAACATTGTGTTTTTTCTTTACTCAATCTGTTTTACGTTTCAGACTGCTGTAGATACGAGAAAGATGACAGGTGAGTTCAATTTAACAAAACTGAAAATTATTTCCAAATAACCTACCTGTTATAAATTGTCGACTAAGTTGTTATGATGAATTTACCTTATAGTCTCGTTCGTATGAATCACATGTGATTTTAAACTTACCACCTAACTGACAAACAGTTCTGTATACTTTTTCATTAGCCATGTGCCATACCAATCTTAACCTCTTGCTTTTTGTTTTAGGAATGTGTGCAAGTGTGACAGGATGTCCTATACCTTTATCTGTGAGAATGCCACTGTGAGTCTAAATATTTATTTTATACTTTTATTTATTATGTAAAATTATGTACTTTGTGAATTTACTGTTAAATATTTGACACCATCATAGTATTTATTGCACATTTGAACTAGTCTTTAATGTATATTCCTTAAAATGTCCTTAATACATCAATCACAACACAATGTAATTGATTAAGGGTCAAGTCACACTGAAAGAGCAGGGGCATTCATAACTCTCTCATTGTTTTGGGAGTATTGTACTGCCCATGCTCAATTCCAATTTTATTATACTTGTGCCAAAGAAAGGTAAGTACTAGCTAGCTTGACTAAGGGTGAATATTTTGAATAATTGCCTTTTTTAGTCAAAAGCAACAAAATTCTTGTAGCATGCCCTCTCGAAAAGTAAATCATCTAGGTTACAATATTTCACCCTACCAAAGCCGATGTGTGCTTTGCTAAAATTGAGCATACGTGACTCTGGTTAGGAACATTATCACACTCAGTGTAAGATACTTGGTTTCATAACCAAATGTCTAAGGGAGTAGTGTGACAAATGTCTGCCAAATTCACAAAATTGCCATAAATTGTTGTTATTTTAATTCAACATAGCATTTTTTTGTCAACAGGGTCCAGAATTGCAATGGTGTGAAATAAATAAGAACAATCCACTATAGAATGTACATGTAAGTAACCGTACATATTGTTTGAATTTGTTGAGAGTTAAATCTTTAATGATGACTAGCATATGAATGCCCCTATCTGAGTGTTTTGATGAGTAAAATAATCTGACATAATCTTCTAATTTAATGCAATTGTTTTGTATACAAATAAATGTTAACCATATCCATTTTGGCTTTTCAGATGACTTGCTATGGAACTGTGATACCAGAGGAAATTATTAAGGTTTGTTTCGACTTGTTTCTACATTAATATAGAGAAGTGATGATTTTTAGTATCGCCCCTACCTGAATTGTGATGACCGATCAGACTGACTTTGTTTCCTAATTTGCAGTGAAATATAAATATGTAGCACTTAATAAGTGTTGTAAAGTCACTTTTGTCTTTTTTTTTTCAGATCATGCAAGCAAAGCAAATCTTGAGTTCTTAAAAATTATTGTTTACAGTTCATAAATTGCTTTGAACTTAACTTGGAAATGGTCAGTCAGTATCAGGCTTTTTGTTAAACTGACACAGACAACCTTCACAGAATACATGGCAATACCATTGGAGATGCAACTATTGAGTCAAGAGATACCAACACTAATTGTACTGAATGCAAACTATTCTTGCAAGTAACTTCACTATTTGTAAAAAGGAGACTAGGTAAGCCCCTTTAATTTCTTAAAAGAGAATTCTATATAAATTTCATTAAATGTTCCTTTCTTGATGATGACTTTATATCGCCCCAGTCTGAACAAAGCTGTTGATCGATTTTTCTGATATTTATGTACTTAAAAAGTCATTATAAATACCTTTTATGATACAATATTTAAATACAATTTCTCGAAATTTTACAGGTGAGTTAGATGTAACAGTAGAGAAAATCTGCATGTCCAGAACAAACAGATAAAAGGTAACTTACTAATTAATTTATAAAAAATCTTTTTTTGATAGTGTTACAAACTTTGGTGAATATTTTTTACCGATTTTTTATCTTTTTATTGATTTTGTTTCAAAATAATTATTATGAAACTGAGTTTGTTACAGAATGTTTATAATTTAATTGTACAGTTGATTAGAACTTTGGATTTCTAACTGTTTTGATGTTATGTTATAATGATGATAGATCTTAGTTATCCCTGGCTCACAAAACCGTGGGGAAATTATGGTATGGTAATAATCTGATAACAATTGTTTCTACGATACTTATACATATAATTTAAAACAATGCATTGCAATAATCACATTCTTGTCTTTCAGGAATAATGCACCGTTGATGCTTCGAAGTCCCTCAACTGTTGAGCAAGATGAAGTTCTGATTGTAGCTGAAGGCTGTGGTCTCTGCCTACCTCAGTGAAAAAAGGGCTTGTAGAATATGTATGTAAAGATGCTTCAGCAGGGGTAGAATTTGTAAATAGGTGTGTATAACTTTATATCTTTTAGTAATTCAAATCTTTATACTTAATTATAATGATGAATTACTAAGTTATCCCTGGCTCACAAAACCGTGGGGAAAATATGGTACTGGTAACAACTGATAAAAATTTTGTATGCTATTTTTGTGAGTTGAATTTTCATACAAATGTTTTGTATGACTTTGTTTTGTTTTCAGTAGTCAAGAAAATGTTAAAAGAGCACGAGAGTGGAGGAAAAGACAACAGCAGGTAAAAAAATCTATTCTGTACCCATAATCTTATCTTGTAATCTAGGGATGTTGGTAACAAACTACTGTGATGATTCTTATTGACAAGCATATATCTAGAATTCCTTTGACGATCATATCATTCTGATTATTGTCATTACAACAATTAAATAAACTACTGAATGTCTAAAACTAATTCTTGATTTCTTTTTTTTATAGGGAAAATGAGACTCCATAGCTTTTTCACACACCAATTACAAAAAAGTGTTTATACAGGGTGTCTCACGGCAGAGTTAGGATTTTAAATTTGAATATTTTAAAAACCGTTGCAAGTAAGCGCGGGGGGAGGAACGCAGTAGCTTCGTCATTCGTGCGGATTTGTTAGTCACGATGTCGCAGTGGTCGGGTGAGCACCGCGCGTTCGCTATCGAAGCGTTTTTGAAAGGTGGAGAATCGTACGTCGTGGCTCGAAGACAGTTTTGTTCTCACTACAATATTAGACGTTTACGCGATGGACCAAGCGAAAATTTGATTCGTAAATGGGTTATCAAGTTTCGAGCTACCGGTTCCGCTATAAATCAACCGCGTCCGGGCCCAAGCAGAACTTCAAGAACGGAAGAAACAATAAACGAAGTTGCAGCTAGCGTTCGACGTAATCCACGCTTGTCAATACGCAAAAGAGCGGCGGCTTTAAACGTCACCAAATCAACCGTAGAGCGGATTTTAAAACGTGATTTGAAATTCCATCCCTATAAAATACAGATAGTGCAGGAAATAAATGAAAATGACTACAATTTACGTAAAAGTTTTTGCCAGACAATCATTGAGAGATTTCGCACTTTGAATACTGTGTTTTGGAGTGATGAAGCACATTTCCATTTGAATGGATATGTTAACAAACAAAATTGTCGCTTTTGGTCACAAGTCAATCCCAGACAAAAACATCAAAGACCGCTGCATAGCCCAAAAGTGACAGTGTGGTGTGCTCTTTCGGTCAATGGAATAATCGGGCCGTATTTTTTTGAAAATGCGACAGGTGCTGCGATTACTGTTTCTGGTGAGGCTTATCGGCAAATGATATCCAATTATTTTATACCCCAACTTCGAGAGCATCCAGCCTACAGCTCAAAAACGTGGTTTCAGCAGGATGGAGCCACTTGCCACACTGCAAGAGCCACTATGGACCAACTTCGTGAATTGTTTCCTCAAAAATTGATATCCCGCTTTGGTGATATTGCGTGGCCTCCGCGATCACCAGATTTGACCCCCATGGACTTTTTCCTATGGGGGTACCTTAAGAGTAAAGTTTACGTCAATACTCCGAGGAATATCGCTGAGCTAAAACAAAATATCCAACAAGAAATACGCGACATCGAGCCGGCTATGCTTAGGCGCGTTATGCAAAATGCGATGAATCGATTCCGTGAGTGCGTGCTACGAAATGGAAGACATTTGGAAGATGTCATCTTTAAAAAATAAAATGCGCATTATAGTTCAATAGTTTTCAATAAAAATCTTTTCACAATAATATGCAAATTGACTTTTATTTCATTTCAAAATCCTAACTCTGCCGTGAGACACCCTGTATTTAAATTATAATTATTGTAACAAACACGTTGATAATATTCAATAAAATGTTTTTTAACAATAACCACATCCTCTTTCTCTCACCACATTTACCACCTTGAATGATAGGAAAACCTAATAAATAGTAAACATTTTACGATAACGTGGGCAATCATTGGAGGATCTCGCAAGTCCACACAATACCAGCTCTGTGTATTGCTAATAAATAGAACCAATCATGACCTATATAGTGCTCATAGAATCGATTGCGAAGGATACAGCTTCCACTTCGTGTGAAATAAAGGTATGATTAACAAACACCTTTGTATAATATTGGGATTGTGTAAATAATCAGTGTTTCTCGAAGTAATCGCTGCCTGAAACGTGCTACAAAAAATATAACTCGAACGAGAAAACTCATTTGAGTTCATTGACTTACAAATTTGAGTTATATTATTTTATGTAACGGGACAGATAACTAAGTGCTCGTAAGTAGTGTATTTTAAAAGGAAAAACGCTCATTCCATAGGTAACATGTGCTCGATACTATTGGTAAAAAAAGGCGCATATCTGCAATAAACCATATTTCACAGGAGAGGCATTTAACGTTACTTTGTTATTTCTATAGCTACAACTTTCATTTCTGCACAGTAAACATTATATTATGTTGTCTAGGGACTGATAACAATAGATTCCCTTAATCACGCTAATTTGGTTGTCACCATATAATATTACCGAAAAGGAAACTTATACAATCAAATGATAGTTATCCCGGACCATATCGTTCTCTCGTGTATTTTTAACTGACTTCAAACAAAAGGAGGACGTTCTCAATTCGACTGGTTTTTTTTGTGTTTGTTACGCGATAACTCTGACATTTATGATTCTTTTCAATTTTGTTGGAATGAGGCTACCTCAGTATTAGTCCTATTTAAATTTGAAGAAAATTGAATAAATAAAGGGATGAGTCCGATTTCGCGCACTGTCCGGTAACCGATTTCAATAAAACTTGACAAGAAGATGTAATTCCACAGACTTATGGTCGGTTTTTTAGTACTCTGTACTGAGATTAAGGTGTTGTAACTTTGTGCATGTAAAATATAATTTTGATATCCGGTCACTATTGGTACTCTTTTATTTCTAACAGGCACAAGGCTTGCAACAAGGAGAACTGAACAGTCTACGCCACGCCATAACGAGTAAACAATTAGTAGTAAATGAGCTTACTTCAGAAGGCAACACTAGTAATATCTATGAAGTCGATGCACAGGGTGTTCTTCTGTTAAATATCCTTAGCAGCTATGGCTTGAAGTAAGTTTCGAGTAAATGTGTAGTTTAAGTCATATTTCTTCTTAATCGAGGGTGCTGCTTTTGTATTTAGATCATCAAGAGCACGTTCGAGGAAGCGAAACATACGTCTTATTTCGCTTATTGTATGGTTATAAAGCTTTTTTGACCAGCTTGCCAATTACAAAAACTCGATACGATTCATGTCACAACTACAAAAAAAACATCGATCGGTTGGTTTGGTAACGCCCTATCATTGGCTAATCAACGAATATCGATCTATAATAGATTTAGTAATTTATGCAGTAGCTCTTAGGTCCCTTAACTTTTAAAATAGTATACAGAAAAGCCAGATCGATCATCGATCGTTCCATGATTCAATGACAAATCGAGCAGATCGATTTGGTTTAGTAGGAGCAGCCGATCGAAGTGACTATCTCATTCTACCATTGACGGAGTATATTTTATTTCCGCTAGTACAATGTATGGAACTTTTGGGTTACAATTGTTCCTCGTGGAACTGAGTACATGGAATTACTGAGAATAAACGATGGTGACTCCAATATAGGCACGGAAAATATTCGAAGCCTAATAATTTTGCAGTTATCAATCGAGGTAAAGGCGTACAAATCACTGAAAAAAATTTGAAGAGGAAAGGCAAAATGGCCGGATTACGAATGTGTTTATTTTATGAACTTGTGTTACGCAATTTGTTACAGTTACAAGGTTTCGAGCCAATCGATGGTGATTGAGAAAACTGATATAGGAGGACGAACATTGCAAGTACAGAAAACTGTTTGGACTCTAGCTATGGAATAAAACGTTAACATTTTACTACAAATTAACATTTATTAATAAATTAAGAGTAAAATTATAAAACACACTTTAATTTAATAAAACACACCTTAATTGACGTTTTCTACCGTTAATTCACTTTGGCAATCACTGGGCACTCTGTCTGTAAATAATTCTGGAACCTGAAATAAATAGGTAGTTAACATTGAAAATGATTGATGATCACATATCTACTGAAAAGCGTGTACCAATCCGCTCTTACTTACCTGAGGAGTATAAGCCTCGACTCTATCTAACAAAGACTCGGAGTAGCCCGGTGAGTAATACCTGAGAATAAAATTGACCTATATTTGACTCGCCAAAAATAATAAATTTTCATGTTACTTGTAAATCTATTGTCTTGAAAATTCAACGTAAATAAAAATAAAATAGGACTTGTATGAGAAATGCCAGTTTTTAAGTAGGTATGTGTAATTTTTTAAATTAGTTGTAAAATAGACCATACC